AGCACAGCACAACAGACGAGGGCATTGTTTCCAGCCCATAAGCACAGTAATTACTCTGTGTGCCTACATACTTCCAAGTGCACGATTCTGAAGTCAGAATAAGGATTTCAGATGGCCAAAAAGCCCTTCCCACGGAGCATGCGGAGCTAGCATTTGTATTTGGTATGAAGTAATTCCACCAGGATTAGAGCAAAGAAGTTTTTATTTAGAAATAGAATACCATCATTGATTAATTCACTTCCGGAACACTTAATTAACTTAAGGACTTAAACAGAAAATAATGGTTTGGGGTCCCACTTGTTGGACCAATGCTATGAAATCACTATCACCTTTATTCAGCAAAGGGTTTATCCTTTTTTATTGTATGTTATTTATTATCATAACACATTTTAACACAAATACTTTTTTGTCATTAAAAGATTCAGCCATTTACTAACACCTGCTGTTTCAGTTTTTCCTCAATGATTTGCCAAACACTATTTTTCTAAATACATGTGTGCATAGTGTGTGTTTACAGCTCCATATAAAAAAGGAACAGTCTAACTACACACCTCGCCTTCCCTCTCAAGACCTTACCTTGTCAACCATGAGGAAATTTTCTATTTTTTCCCCATCATTACAAGTAACATCTCCAACTTCTCTAACGGCTTGAGGTAAAAGCTCCTTGACTTCTTGGGCTATTATTCCTGTTCACAAGATAACAAAAACTGAAGTCAGGAAACACAGTGGCATACCATTGACCATAGTTGTGTGCTTTGAGTTGTCTAACCTAAAAGCTACAGGCCAAACATGATCTAGAATTTCTCTGTGGTAGGAAATTCTAGGATTTCATTCTTTTTTCCTTTTCTTTTTTTTCTCCCCCGGAGAAAAGAAACAGAAACCTGTGGATTTCTCATTTCTCTGCAATAACAGTACTGTTTGTGGTCATGTACTTCATTCTCATTAAATCTCTGGGAAAAATAGCCTCCTATCTTTAAAACTTGAAACAGAAGCTGAAAAATTCCCATAATACTTAATTTTGGCATTTTTATATCAGAAGATAAACACAGCGAACTGTGCAATTGTGGTATCCTAAGAAATGAGGATGAAATAGCCGGGTGTTAAGAGGCATTATAGCACAAGGGACAACAGTGGAAGTTAATGAAAAATAAGAATAGAGCTGATTGATTACCGGTTTCGTGGTTATTTTTTATTCCCATAACAGATGCAAATTCAGGCTTATAGTTATACTCCACCAGCCTCATTTGTGTTATTCTTCTCAACTGCTCATTTGTATCAACCTAGTTGGACAAATACCAAGATTCATATGTTGAAACATTAAGAATATCATGGCATCTAGGACACTGCACAGATAGGAAGAAGCCTGACATAGCCGCTTGGCCAAGCTTCACATCAAAAAATAAGGACAACTTTCCTGTTCCCTATTAGCAGAGCACTATTTATTTGTGTTTGCTTGTGTTTATTTATATTTGTCTGTATTTATATTTGTGTTGGTATTTGTATTTGCATTTGTATTTGTATTTGTATTTGTATTTGTATTTGTATTTGTATTGCCAGTTTCCTCTTCAGTCTAACAACTCCCATTTACACAGATATCTCCGGCTTCTGTGGTCAGCTTCTTCCAAATTCCATAGGCGATGGCCTTACAGAGAACAAGAGTACACCCCATTTCCTTAGGCCAGGATTTCAGCACACCCGGGATAAAGAAGCCACTTCACGTGTCAGAACAATGATCCACACATGAGCTGCGGTGCAGACATAAATGCCCTAAATACTCCATGGCGCTTACCTCCCGGATATTCTGTTTTGCTCGGCTGTCAGATGGATGCATGACTCTGCCCATAACTTTCGCGTTTCCGCAGACAACCAGTGCTTCGTCTGGTGCATCTGTGTTAATTCCTACTCGACCATGATAGACTATTGTCTCTGGAACATGTCCTCGCTGCCACAGTACATCACTGTCATTCTCAAACTGCCCTGGGTTAGACGCCTGGAAGAAAAAATTACTTTTAAAGATATAGTATAGCATAAAGGTACTATTCCTTAACCTTTAGAAATTCAAGGAAAATATTTAAATTGTGTTCAAGAGATTTTCTAACACACCAATAGAAAAAAACAAAGTGGAGTCGCTTCTAAGTGTTTCTGCTAACACAGCATTGGCCTCATTGCTTTTCCCCTTGGATTAGACTTTATCATCATCTTAAGCTAAACTGTCAATGTCCAAAGCTTTTCAAATTTTAACTTTAACATTATGCCAGATAACCACTGAAGCTGGAAATCAGCAAAGAGTAAACAAGGCAGAGATAAAACATGTGTGGTTCATAAAATCCTCTGTAATGCTCTAAATTAACTCATATCACAAATCTCACACCAAGGAAACTGAGTGTTTCAAAGAACACCAACAAAACATGGGAGTGCATATAATTAGAAAAAGCATTTGATTGCAATAATTAATTCTGTTACTTTTTTATTTTTCACTTCGAATGCAGGCTTTTAAATTTGACTATGAAACAAAAGTACTACAAAAAGTTTGAACTCATTTAAAGAAGCGAGGCTTTCACAAGTCTTTGCCGGCTGTGATGCCTGGTGCTGTGTGCTCACCACTGTTTGTCACAATTAGAGCATGATCTGATATGCCTGATAACCATTCCTCAGCTGGTAGTTTTGTTAGGTTATATTCGAGTGTATAAAGGGCCAGATCATGGGTTACTTTCTCTTGCGGTGAATTTGCACAGCTTTGCCACTTTAAGGTAATCAGTGGCTGGGGCGCCGCACCCCGCCTCTGTCAGACATCTGGAAAATAGCTTTTCTTTTTCTTTTTTTCTCCAGCTTTCCTGTTGACATGCACTCCATAATACAGCCTCTTATTTTGCTTTCCTGCCATCTTTTTCTTTGTCTGGAATAGTGGTCAGGTTTGCAAAATCTCACTCCCTGGATTCCTATTAAAAATCTCTCCTCATTGAAATTTCAAGAGAATCTAACATTCAGAATGGTAGAAAGATGTAAATTTCTAAATCTTACATAAAATATATATCTTATAAGGGAACAACAATCCCAAGGATGAGGCAAACGTGAAAATTCAATGGCTTTCCCAAATTGGTAAAGAGATTATATTTCTAGCACTGCTGGATGCATAAAGAAAAATTCTGATGAAAGCAGTACTTTAGGAATTAATGTACAAAAAAGGAAAAGAACTAAATACGCAGGAGCGATACAAGCACAATACTCAGAGTCCTGAAATAAAAAAGCCACAGCAACGGCCAGGATGATAACAATTCTCAGCAGGACAGGAAACTACTGAACTCCAAACATGAGTTTCAAAGCCATTTCACAGATCCACCTAGTAAGGAGTGCTCAGCCCTGCTGGCCTCCAAAAACCTGAGTGGAACTGCAGAAGGAGGGTTTGTGACACAAGAGGACACAAAGTTATGGCCCAAACAAAAAAAAGAGCCTGAACTGAAACCATCTGAAAGCCCTCATCTTCCTTTGGCAGCCCTTGTGCAACATCACACAAGCTGGAGGCTTGCACTTTCACTCTCTCTAAACCTGAATGCTAAACCAGGCTGTAATCATAAGCCTGGGCAGTTAACATGCTGCCAGAAAGAACCCAAACGATGGCCTACAAAGACTGGTGTCAGGACTAAAAGCTGTTGACAGCCTTCACCTTTTTTTGGACTCTCTTCCCAGCCGGACTCTTACACTAGAGCTCTTGGCCATATTTGACTCTCAACCACGATGCTAAGCCTATTCCCCGCCATAAGTCAAGGACTAGTAGGACTCCATGTGAATAAGAAGCAGCTCCATGATCAGTCTCCAAGAAAAAGCTCACCACATTTCAGCCTTCCGGAGGCCCTCACCATCCTTTTCAGGCCCACCACATGGCACCTACGCATTTCCTGTCTTTCTAAGCCCTTAACACAATCTTCACATTAGAAATTACCATAACCCTAGATTATGCCCAGTTCAAACATTAACCCCCAGCTATTGTCACATGGAAAAGTGGCCAGGCCTGAAAGCTTTTGGTGACTTCCCCGTTCCCTTGGCAGTCCCCTTGCAAGCCCACTTGTGCCAGGGCTCTGTGCTTTCTCTCTCCTCACCCTACCACTCCATAGCTTCTGTTACAACAGAGCTCTGGGGCTTTTCTCTCTTCCAAGCCTAACTCTAACTGTAGGCTAAAGCTGAGTACTAAAAGGAAATGTTCATGTGGATCAGGGGACTGAAAAGTAATGGTCATAAGGAAGCAGAACAATTCTTCCCTTTCTGTGTTGAATCCTGTACTACAACCACCAAATTAAGAGCTGAAACACTACTCTGGAAATGCACTGAGAAGGGGCAGATATGGGTCTTACAATCATAGAATCATAGAATGTTAGGAGTTGGAAGGGACCTCTAGAGATCATCTAGTCCAATCCCCCCTGCCAGAGCAAGATCACCTAGAGCATCAGGAATACATCCTGGTGGGTTTTGAAAGTCTCCAGAGAAGGAGACTCCACAACCTCTCCCGGGCAGCCTGTGCCAGTGCTTGGTCATCCTGACAGTAAAGAAGCTTTCCCTCATGTTGAGGTGGAACTTCCTATGTTCTAGCTTATATCCATTATTCCTTGTCCTATTGCTGGGCAGCACTGTGAAGAGACTGACCTCTTCCTCTTGACCTCCACCCCTCAGATATTTACATACATTAATAAGATCCCCTCTCAGCCTTTCTTTTCAAGACTAAAGAGCCTCAGTCCTCTCAGTCTCTCTTCACGGGAGAGATGTTAATCATCCTCGTAGCTCTCCGTTGGACTCTCTCCAGTAGGTCCCTGTCTTTCTCGAACTGGGGAGCCCAAAACTGGACACAGTATTCCAGGTGTGGTCTCACCAGGGCAGAGTAGAGGGGGAGGAGAACCTCCCCAGACCTGCTGGACACACTTTTCTTAATGCACCCCAGGATCCCATTGGCTGTCTTGGCCACACGGGCACATTGCTGTCCCAGGGACAACTCACTGTCCACTAGGACTCCAAGGTCTTTCTCCACGGGGCTGCTTTCCAGCAGGACATCCCCTAATCTGTACTGGTGCCTGGTGTTATTCCTCCCCAGATGCAGGACTCTACACTTGTCCTTATTGAACTTCATAAGGTTCACCTTCACCCAGCTCTCCAGCCTGTCTCGATCTCATCAGATAGCAGCACAGCCTTCCTGTGTGTCAGCCTTGCCCTCCAGTTTCATATCATCAGAGAACTTGCTGAGGGTACACTCTATCCCCTCATCCAGGTCCTTGATGAAGATATTGAACAAACCAGAACTCAGTACTGATCCCGAACACCACTGGCCACAGGCCTCCAACTTGGCTCTGTGCTGCTGATCACAACCCTCTGAACTCTGTTGTTGAGTTACAACAATCCACCTCATAGTCCAATCATCTATCCCACATTTCTTAAGTTTTCCTACGAGGATGTTATGGGAGACAGTATCGAAAGCCTTACTGAAGTCGAGGTATATGACATCCACTGCTCTCCCTTCATCAACCCATTTGGTCATGCCTTCACAGAAGGGTATCAGATTAGTCAAGCAGGATTTTCCCTTGGTAAATCCATGTTGGCTACTCCTGATAACCTTCTTTTCTTCCATTTTGTTAGAGATGGCCTTTGGAATGAGCTGCTCCATCACCTTTCAAGGGATGAAGGTGAGGCTGACTGGTGTGTAGTTGCCAGGGTCTTCCTTCTTGTCTTTTTTGAAGACTGGAGTAACATTGGCTTTCTTCCAGTCCTCGGGCACCTTTCCCGTTCTTCTAGTGGAGAGGGGCTCAGCCAAGATGTCAGCCAGCTCTCTCACCACACGTGGATGCACCTCATCAGAGCCCATGGATTTGTGCATTTTCAGTTTCTCTAAGAGATCTCTAATCCAATTCTCACTGACAAGTGGAGAGTCTTCCTTGCTCCAGTTTTGCTCCCTTACTTCCAGTGACTGGGATTCCTAAGGGCTGGTCTTAGCAGTAAAGACTGGGACAAAGAAGACATTCAGCAATTCTGTCATCTCTGCATCCTCTGTTATCATATCTCCCACCTCCTTTAGGAGTGGACCCGCTTTTTCCCTACTCTTTCTTTTCTCATGGAGCTATCCGAAGTTCTTGTTTTCTTCCACCTCCCTAGCCAGACTAAGTTCCAAAAGAGTCTGGGCCTTTCTTACTAGAGTTGCTTGACCTTCTTTCCTTGAATTATTTTTTGGTTCTCATCCTCCTTTGAAAATGAAGCATCTAGCCAACGAAAGCATTTGCCAAATTCCTGACAAGTGCAGGAAATCGTTTCACCTTAAATTAAAAACAATCTGGAAAAATCAAAATATGTTGCATTGGAATTCCCAGCAAGGTTTGGTTTTAAAATTTTCTATAGCTCTACTTTTAAGGTTTTTAAATCCTGACAATTAAGAATTAACAACATACTCATACAATATGCAACTGTAATATTTTTTCCTCAATATTTTTGAATCAGTGGGACTTTTTATGCCCAAGAATCACTACCACACATCCTCCCATGAATATCAAAACAGTAGCTACTTTTCACGTGAAAGCAATATAAATTTCTACCTACCCTCACAATGATCTTTTCAGAGACGTTTGCAGACAGTAGGTAGAATTGGTCCTGAGAGAAAGCGTAGAGTCCAACTACCAGCATGAAGTATCTAATTTGAAATCAATGTAATTGTGACAATAATTAATGTCTTCTCATAGAAAAAATACAACTGCTTACAGAATAAATACAACTGCTATTATTGATATATAAAAAGATAGCCAGAATGTTTTTTAAATGCTTTTATGCTAGGAAAGAAACATTATTTCCTTTACTCTCAAGTAATATGCTATTTAATCCCCACAATCATTGAAGATGAACAAAGATGAGAGTAGTTTTGACAAATCTAATTTGTTTTTTGGCTTCCTGATTTCATCAGCCATCATTCTGGCTATGACTCCCCGAAACAATCTCTAACCACAAGGATAAGATATTTTCTTATATTCTCATATTATTCTGACTCTAGAAGAGAGGCCTTTAAGCAGATACCAAATATCGCAGAATTTGAAATAAAACCACAGATTTGGCAACGCTGAGATTCATCACAAACATTAGCTACATCCTAAAGCAGAACTTCTTTTCCACTTCACACACACAGATCAGCTACAGTACAGCGATACCTCTGGTCAGGATTGGGTTTCCCTTTTTTTCTCATGTTATTTGCTGTTGTTTCACTGAAATGTAACCTCCCCAGTGTTACTTTAGTTATCTGGTCCCCTGGCAGATCAACTCTAAAATAGAGAAAGAAAAAAGATCAGGGAAATAAGCATCTGGAGATCTACCTGACTTAAGCCAGATTTTGTCACACCCATTAAAACAGTTCGGAGAAAAACTGACAAATGAAGAAAACAGAGGAACCCCAGTAAAAAGACAGTAACCCTGGTTTATGAAAACACATTGAAAACACATTAGAAACACAGTGATTATGTCAAGGAGATAAACAAGATAAAGCACCAGCAGTGGGAAACTGTTCCTAGTACCAGGATTCTTGTTTGTACATAGTCTTGAACATAATAAAACCATATATGTTCCATATGATGGGTATTTGGTCCTTGCCAAGATTAACATTGCTTCCTATCAGATCTTAATTTCCACTTTAAACCAAATAAATTTTACTGTTTATCCTTTTTTTCATTGGTACCTAATTTGTACATCTGGAAGTCTAAAATATATACCTTTATCTCCAATGCACAGGCATACTGCTTCTGTAAGTGATAAATAATATAAAGACTTTGCATGGAGAAAACCAGTCCACAGAACAGTTTCCCATACAACAATTTGCACACACAGAATCTATTTGTCAGTGTGCAGGAGGAAGAAAGATGCCATGACAGAGGTAATTTAGTGAAAATCAAGCTCTTCTCCCAAGCTCAAGGTTCATTTTCACAGATTATATACTGCAGCCTTCATCCCAGCACTGTCCTGTCAAACTTGACACTGTCTTATTCTTTTTCCATTTTAAGGCTTATTTAATTATTTATAGAGAACAGAACAGCTCCAACAGAAGACACTTATGCCACAAGAACAAATATGGATTCTGCCTGTGAGTTAAGATGCAGAAGAATGGCAGAGAGTTCCAAGGAGATGTTGAACATGTGTGTTTCTGGCAGAGGCACTCCCCCTCAAAAGCACTGCAAATACACCTCCTGCCCATGTAGAACAGGAACATTACTGACATTTTTGAAGATGGGAAATGCATCTGCCATAAAACACCACACAACATAGTTGCTAGCTGAATACAAATATTTTGGGATAGGCATACGTAACACAACTGTAAAGCTGCTGAATATTTTCCTTAATGAAGTGAGAACAGGTTTATATTACTGCTGTGATTCTCTGTGCACACCCAGAACAGAATCTGGATAAAGATCAGAAAACCAGCTTCGGCCTAATCTAAGTTTCCAAGACACAACTAGTTCACATTTAAGACCAATCGCATATTGAAATAAAATTAAATAAATTTCTCAAAATTCTTACTTAACGGGTTTGAAAGTTTTTTTGCTTCGATCTGACTGAGACTGCTCAATAGCAATTGTTTGATTTGGAGCTTCCACCTACAACAGAAAGAGAATTTTTAGAAATGACAAGGATATTAAATTTTCAAACACACAAAATTGGAAAGAGAAATTAATAGGCACATTGTGTCTGAAGCTCTGAAAATTTCTCTACCTTTCTGGAAGGGTACCAAGCAGCACTTTGCTTCAATAACATTCACTAATTTCTTCTGCATTAGAATGCATTAAGAAAAACTGGTAGTAATTGCCTTGCGAAGCAGCTACATGGATTTTTCTTGAATCACTGAATTTTGGCAGTAAGTTAAAAAATTGGTAAAATTGTACAGAAAGGTTAAAATTTCTTACTGCTTCTGTATATGCAAGCTTGTAGACCCATGGGTAGGAAAAAATTGGTTCTTAAATTGAAAATGGAAAGCCTGTCAAGAAGAAATGGGGAAATTTTGTTGGGTTTCTACATGCAAATTGTCCAGGAGAAATAGACTTGAATTCTTTGTCTTTGTTTTATGAATTGTGTTTCTCAAAACACCATTTTGACCAATAGGTAGACTGGCCACCCGCACATCAGCTGATGCCCCCTGCACTGCCCACAAAGGGAATAAAATTTCAGCCAAAGAGAGAGTAGTCAGTAAAATTACAACAAATGGGCAAACATGACGTCTTTCAGCATGAATCAGCACAGGCACGCATAAAACACCACTTTTCTTGCAAATGAGTTCCACATAGAAGTCACTGGAAGCTTAAAAATACTTTTCTTTTGTCAGTTCTTGATGAAAAATGACTAACAAAAGGGTTCATTTCAATTATTTACCTCATTCTATGGGACAATTACATAATAACTTGTTAAAAGTAATAACCACAAAGAGGAGAAATACTTGCCTTTATTCCAAAAGCTTTCAAGTAAAATTTTTCTATTGGTTTGCCGCCCAGCTGAGTTTTGACATATTTTGGATGTCCAGTAATTCTAATATGGACTGTGATTTGGAAATGATTCTTCTTCTGGCATACAAAGGCATCATCTGTTGTTGAGTAATTAAATCCTTTATCTGTGACAATGTGATATCCTACAGCAGGTCTACAAAAACAAGAAGAATAGCAACTTTAGGCACAAGCCTATTTGAGTGACATCTTGAGTTCTTGGGTTTTATGTGGTGTGAAAATCCATCTGACAAAATGGGAGGCAAAATGCATCTTTACAATCAGCAGCTCTACCAATATTTTCTTCTTGGCTTCTTGGAGGTGTAAAAATGAAAATGCATGTAGAAGATACTACAGTTCTAATCTGACACACAAAATGCTTGCAAACCAGAGGTGGAGAAGCTTACATAACCCTCACTCACAAATCTGCTCACTTAAAAGCACAACCAAAGCTTTTAGCATATTCAAGCATTTACTGTAACATTGCTACAAGAAACAGCTGAATGAATGCTGCAGACAACAAGGTGCTAATGAGCCAGCAAGACTGCCCAGTTTGTTCCTGAATTCCCACACCGAGTGCTTCTGCAGAAGCTGCTGGGATTCAAATAGGCTTTACTTGAGCCAGAAGAAAAGCTATCAATGGTGACCCTTCTGGTCAGATGACTATAAAATTCTCCTTTATAATGTTGTCCATCCTACCCCAACTTATTCAAAGGGGTAATTTGTCACCCAGAGGGAAA